CAGAGTGGACAGCTGAGCACCCTGTACCTTGGCAACGAGTTAGAGGAAGGTACAGTTAATGCCTAATAACAGGTCGATTACCAGCCCGTGCAAGTGGCAGAAATATTAATCACAGGTGTGCGAGGGAGGCCGTTTATAAAGATACCTACTTGTGCCAACCAAACCTGTGATTTACTATCCCATTAACCAATGGGTAAAGTACTGTGTTTCCACATCACTATGCTTTGCAGACATACACGCATTTCAGTCCATGCAAGACCTCTATTTACTCAACAGATAATCAACAGATGGCTCAGTTGGTAACGCTCCCGTCTTTGGGTCAGAGGTTTTGAGCTCAGTCGAGTGCAGTACATATGTATGTGTATGTGCGTGTGTGTGTGGTTAGGGGGGGGCACAGTCTACAGGTGGTCTCGAGACCCATGTGGTGGTGCTGTGGCTGCCAGTCTGCTTATTCTCCAGTTACTTAACTCCAGTTACTGAAGGTCTTTAATATAATAAAACATATTGCATTGTCCACATCAACCAGAAGGAAGCAGCCTCCTCCGCTCTGGCCCACTCACTCTTTGCATTTCGACCTAACTACCTCCCTCAGGCACCAGTTGACTGTAAGGCAGTGGGGACTCGCCCAGCCCCAGGGCACGAACACAACAGCAGCTGAAAGGTAGGCATCGACGCCGAGCTTCAAGCCTCAGTGCAGAGGAGAAACAACAACAAACAAATTACATTTATACAGCGTCTTTCATGTCAGGAGGACATCCCAAAGTAATAATGATAATCCTTGCATTTGATATCGCGACTTATCATTTCATCGCGACGTCTCAAGAGTGCTTCACGATACACTGTAAAGTGAATCGACTGTATATTTTGCGGACGAAACGCAGCAGCCAATTGCGCACCAGCGTCTCACAAACAGTCGTGGATTGAGTGACCAAATTATTATTATTATTATTATTATTAGGTGCTGAAACAGAAGTGAACAGGAGCTTGCAGCGCCTTGGCTTAAACTCCTCCATCTTCTCAAACGTCACACAAGCCCCAACGCAAACCAAGTTAGAGCCAATCTCTCTCTCTCTCACACACACACTCTCACACACACAGGAGCTCCGTTTAGAACAAGCTGACCTTGAGCATGATGACGGACGGCCCCAGTGGCATTCACTTCTGGCTCCATTCACATTTCCAACAGGCTATTCTCACCATCCAAAGTCGTCAACAAGCAGGAGCCACCAACCCTTCCCTTCACTTCCCCCATCGCCCTATTTTAAGCAGCCTGTTCTCTTCCACACTGGTCCATGGGCTGAGGCTGACAGAGCCTCCCTGGCGAGCACTGGGCATCTGCTCAAAGATTTGGGGGAGGCCAGATGGCACAGCCGTGGGAAGAGAACTGAGCTTCCTGTTTACATCCAAGAAGACGCAGGATGGCACGAGCAGGCAAAATGTTCCAAGAAATGAGAGGAGCGATCAGTCAGTGAGCAAGGTGCCCGACACTCTCATTCACAAATTGTTTTATTACATTTCAAACCATGGATTTAGTTAAAAAAAATTAAGGTCACAAAGAAGGAGGTTTTTTTCACCAATTTTTTTTCACGATCTCCACATAGGAATAAGTCTCTCTCTCTCACACACATACACACAATCTAGATCCATGTCCCCTTATTTCTGACTTTCAGTCTGTGCACTTGTTAGTCTGTCTATCAATTCTTCCGGGTGTGGCTGATTTTGTGTCTGTGTGTGTGTGTGTGTGTGTGTCTGGCTGTCATTGTGTATGTGTGTCTGAGTGCCTGTGTCTGACTGAGAGGCAGCTACGGAAAGAAAAACACCATGGAATGTGCAAACGCAGATAAACGCAGAAATGTTGCAGTCATTTTCTCACAATCAGCTACAAACATTAGGAAATAGTCGGACCTGCTGGAGTTTTGCAGAGATGAAATACGGACACTGTTCAAACAGCACCGTTTCAGTAAACCTGATTTACAGACACTGATAGAGAGCACAACAGGGTTATCCATTCCCCAGGCTGGCTCACTGAATTATCCATAATTCATGATTGGTATAGGTACACGAGAGAGAGAGAGAAAGTGGGAGATACGGTGGGAGAGAAACGGGAGTGGGTGGGGAGTGAGAGGAAGGCAGAGACAAAAAAGGGGAGATGGGGAGAGAGACTGTGTGAGAGGGAGAAGAGATGGTGAGGAGGAGTGAAAGATAGGAGGAGGACGTGAAAGGAGAGAGAGAGAGAATGCGAATGGACAGGAAATAATTTTGGTATCAGTCAGCAAAGGAACATTTACAAAGGAGAGGTTGGAAGAAGCTGACTGCAGCAATGTGATGTAATAATCCCTTCAAAAATAATAATAATACTCAATCCACAGCTGTCTGTGGGACACTGCCGTGCGCAATTGGCTGCCGCATTAGGCCTACAAAACACTTTAAAAAAAAGTGGTTTAGTTTTGTACCCCGATGGTGGAATGTGCCAGACAGGTCTTGGAAGAATTGCAAGAATGCTAAGAATGGTTCGGAGGAGGGTGGGGACTGAAAAGCAATCAGTGCCATTGGGATCACATCCCAATGATAAGAGGCCAAACCAGCATCAGAGAGGAATATGTCAAATGGGGGGGAAAATGGTAGTAATGATAATAATAATCCTTGCATTTGATATAGTGCCTTATCGTGACGTCTGAAAGCGCTTTATAAAGGTCTCCATCAAGTAAAGAATCGACCCACTGAAAGAACAATTGAAACTGAAACGACTGCTTCAGGAGACTCTTCATGTGAGGCTGAGGGACTAACTGAGCAACAGTACAACACTACCTTGAGGATCCTTCGATGCTGCCTTCAGCTCCTTAAATAGGCTTTTAACTGTTCAATGAGCAGCAACACATGGGACTCTGGCCAACAGTCGGGCTGATGCAAGCTCTCTGCAAACATACCTCATCCACAGCACTCGCTGTACTTTCCTATTAAGCCAGACGTCTCTCCAGAGGGCCTAGTCAAGAGCTTTGTCTGTCCCAGCCGAACACAGCCTATGCTCCCCCTCAGATACACAGTCACTACACTTTACACTATACCCTGTGAAGCGCTTTGAGCCACCGTCCTGATGTAAGTCACACGTCAAAGGTTTCCACAATTAATTCTGGTCAAGTGCACTGACCACCTTTGTGGGCAAACACTGTAACCACAACGCCAACAGGATCATTCATTCCTTCTTTCAAGACATACAAGGCATTTTCAGAGCACGCCTGGCTGCATCGGGGACCAATTGTATTGTATGGCTGTCCAAGCCACACTTGTGTTTTCTCTTTTGATTGCATTCATTGCTATGGTCGCTGCTGATGTACACTCGGCCTGACCACAAGACTGGAATCTGGACCCAACAGTTGCCTTCTTTCATTCATCTACTCAACTGCTAACCTTTTTATTTCTTAAAGCAGCAGCGTATTTATTCAGTTATTGAGGTGGGAAGCACTTTCCCTTGCTCTGCGGCTTGTGGAATAAGGAAACTTGCTTAATGTTTCGCCCAGCCCGGGAATCAAATCCAGGTCCTCTCGCTTGCTGCTTGTTTAAAGGTAAATATATATGATAACTGATGGGCAGCAGCCAGGATATGGAGAATAAGCCACAGAGAAAGCTTGGAAAGAAGCCACTTTTAAACAGGAAAGTATCCCACTGCCACACCACCACCACAAGACTGGCATGATGAGCAGGTTTAAAGCATCTCCAGGATTATTACTGTGATTAATTTTTAACTCAAGGGTGATTTCTTCCTATATACCACGTAAACATGTCGAAAATCACAACACAGAATGAACAAAATGGACTTTCGCACCCAAGGTCTAGTTCGTCAACAGTACAATACAACACACATTTAAGCAGCATCTTTCACAAGTGCTTTACACTGGTGACCAAGCTGGGGGGGAGGGAGGGGGGTGAGGGTTGGGAAATGAACACCGAAAGCACAGTCAAAAAGTTAAGCATTGAGGCAGTCTTTGAAGTTGGGTGGGGGGGGAATTGGACGGATAGATTTCTAGATTCAACACTGCTGACCCCAAAGGTGACACTAAGTACCTCTGATTTATTGGTGACATCCACTTTGTCATTTTCCACCACATGATTAGCTTTCCCGAGCGCTGCAAATTTACACCATCATTTCCTTTTAAACTTCACGCTCCAGTGAAGGAGAAATTAGTGACATGTCCCTGTTGCTCACAATGTTGAGCCAAGCACTTGCCCTCGGCAATGCCACAGTCTGGGTCAAGTTAGAAAAGCGCAAGTCCTATTAAACCTGTACAGTGGTGAGTGAGGTTGGCGATGCCTGGCTCTTGTTAAAGAGTGACAGCCCAATGGATGCGTTGGGGGAATGGATATTTCCCACCATGAAGCAGGAAGCAATCTCTCAGAAGTACCTGAAACCCAGTAGCTGAAGAATCCGTAGCAAAGCTCTATTTTAAGGAAAAGGCACTTTGGCTGAGCAAGCAACTATCCACTTAACAAGAACCTTTTTATCGTCAATAACCAATTCACAAAGAGGTTAAGGTCAACCCGACAGCAGGCCGATAAACGGGAGGCTACACTGCCCATCACACAGTCCGTGTCAGGCTCCACTGGCTTCCAGTTACCGAATGGATCGATTTCAAGATCCTCTCGCTCGTCTTCAAATCCCTTCATGCACTCGTACCTCCCTATCTTTCCGATTTGCACACCCACTCCACCACCCGCTGCCTCCTCTCGGGAAGGAGGAGAAACAGCACAACTTAACTGAGGGAACTAAACGCCTCCAAAGGGTTTACGCCACACACATTTCCCAGCACAGCGGTCAATACACGCTCTTTTTTCACCACCGCCTTCCTTTTGCCCCCCTACCATGGCCCGCCATTTGGCAAAAGGAGACTATCTGCACGACTCAGTCCCGTCTGACCCCGTTCAGTTTCAAGAGCGAGAAAGCTTCTGCCCCCTTCCCTCGCTGGACACAGAGAGCTCGAAACAGGCACAGAGACAAGACTCACCTGTAGTACCGTGACTGTAAGTAAGTGGAACACACGGCTTTGGAGACGTGGCTGGCTGACCCAAAGTCGATTACTTTCACTCTGTACGGCTGGCGAATGGGATCGACCAGCATGATATTCTCCGGTTTGAGGTCCGCGTGGATTAAGCCGAGGCTCTTCAGTTTATTCAGTGCAGTGGCCACTTGCTGCAGAATGGGCCTGATCACCTTCAGGGGCAGGGGGCTGAACTTGTTCTGCTTGAGAAAGTCGTACAAGTTCTGTTCCAGCATCTCGAAGACTAAGCACGTGTGGTTCCGGTGCTGGAAGCACTCGTAGGCGCGCACAAAGTTAAACTCATCGGCGTTTTCGCTGCTCAAACGAGCCAGGATGCTCACCTCGATCTGTCCCTGCCGGGCGTAGGAGGGGTGGTTCTTTAGGATTTTGATGGCCACGATCTCGTTTGTCCCCCTCTTCCAACATTTGACCACCTGGCCAAAGGTCCCACGTCCGAGGAAGTCAAGGACCTCGTAAGTGCTCTTCATGGAGCACAGCACTTCGTGCTGCATGAGATGGTACTCGCCGTCTCCACTGGCGCTGTTCTGCTTCGAGGTGCTGGCGGTGTTGACCACAGTGACCGGGTTCCCAGCATTGGTCTGCAACATCGCCGGCCCCATAGACAGCTCGTCCACAATCTGCATGGCGCTACCTCGGTTGTCAAGCTCTTCACTCTTCCTCTTCAGCCCGCATCTCTGGTAGCTATCCAGCAAGGTCAGACTGCCCGCCGGCCTCCCTCCCTCCGCTGCTGCCACCCCCACAGGCTGTAGCTGTGCCCGCGCTGCCCTGGCCCCCGAAGTGCTCAAAGCGACCGCACTCGCGGGCACCAGGAAGCTCTGACCACACGGTCTCCCCCGCTGGCTCTTCGGCTGGAAGGAGGAGCTAACCACGTGATGCGATGGGTGAGCGATACCGAGGTTCCTGCCGTTCACATAGGTCCGAGGGAAAGCTCTGTCGTGGGACACGCAACTGCTTGGTTCTACTTTCAGTTTCTTCACACTACAAAAGGCACTTGTCTGAGTTTGATAAACGTGTGGTGGGCAGACCAAAACTTGTGAGGCCATACCTGTGTGGCCAAAGAGGAGAGAGAGAGAGAGAGCGCGGGTTAATACAAAGGAAGTGAGTTCACACACTCCACCCTCGATCTCCATAGCCTAACCTGTCCCCCACCCGCCCACCTCACTCCCATTAACGCTGCCTTCACGTTCAAAGCCAAAACATTTCATAGGTTGAAAACAAGGCCAAGTGAGCAGCAACTCAAGATGCTCAAATAGCAACAAACAGGCTTGAGTCTCTCCAAACTGGGACAATCATGGTTTAAAGCTGGTTACCCCCAGACTGCATGACAGGAATGATGCACAGAACAGTTCCAATCATTGAAACGCTACATCCATTAACTACAGGGATCGTACAGACGTCCATATCATAAGTTAACCGCCCCCAGTAATAACAGTCTCAAATTGGTGCTCCCTGGGACTGAGGCTGAAAACTGGCCACGACAGTCAGGTTCACTGTAAATCCCACTCCTGCTGGATTCTTCAAACATCTCCAAAGTACAGCATGTGGACTACTAACTCAGAGGTTACTGCCTCACCTACAGCCCAGAACTCACCAGGATCTACAGAATGAGATCAGGCCTGACAGGCAACAACCACTGGGAACATTCCAGAGGGCGGTTTGTATCGAGCACCTTGATTTCATCCACCAACCGCAACTGAGGTTAATGATTTACAAACAGAAAGCTCCCAGTGTTGAACAGGTAAGTTCGATTTGACCGGGCGACTGACCGAAAGGAACATCTCATTCCCATCCAAGAATGATTCTTATCGAGCAGGCAGTGCTGGACCTCAGTGGAGCGAGTTCCTGGCTGACTTCAATAACTGGTTAGCTAAGACCAGGACACGGGGACTCCCGATGCTGTGATGGGAAGACTCTCAGGTGGGTAATCTGAAAGGATGAGGTCAGATACAGCGATGGGCCTTTTTCACCCAAACCAATCTTGTGAACAAAGCAGCCAGTGACAGCTAAGGCCACTGTCAGGTCTGGTAACCACTGGGACTCACTGACCCCTGACACAAACCCTCCGATAACATGGCATTGACCAGACCACCTTGTGCCGGTGGCTGGTGTGCTGAGTCGACGTGTGGCCGCCCCACTCCCCTCGTGGGCTCCAGAGCAGCGGTGGGTGGGGTGGGGTTAAGCTTCTGTTCACATCACAATGAGTTTTAAAATTAACCCAGAACTGCCATGATTCTAGAACACGCATTAACAGCTTTTTATTTCTAAAACTGTTTACTTTCAACAACAAATTACGTCTGTATACAGCGCCTTTCACATGGGGAAGACGCCTCAAGCACCGGGACAGAACAAGGCAGCAGGTTGGGTTGATAAGTGCCCCCCTCCCAAACCCCCAAAAATCCAACTAATTACATTTATATAGCACCCTTCATGTGCGGGGTAGCATCCCAGAGCGCCTGAGATGGGCGACACGAGCAACACGAGTTTACATTCTAATTCCTTGGGAGGTATGTCACATATAAACAAGAGTATTTTTATTTTTAGTGCCACAGTACAAAAGCAAATTATCTTAGCATTGCCAGCGCTGAGGTATGTACACACCCAGTAAAATAATATGTATGAGGAAATTCCTGGCTCAGGTCAATGCTTATTCAACACACGTGTGGGCAGTGATACATCCCACCCCAACTCTGGGAATTCTTACGTTTAGGATGTTGAAACAAACAAATGAGAGCATTCAAGTCTTAACATTTTTTTTTTCTTTTAGCTAAGCAAAACACAGTAAACTCCCGATAACTAACTCGTCACTCCAAAGGACAAGGGTTAGTTTAGTGGCGAGTGATCAGGATTGGCGAGTTAGGCCTATGTATCAATATAATAAACTTCTGATAAATCGATCCTGGCTTAACTTGTCACCGTCACTTAAACCATCATGCTGTCAATAACCCGGCTGCATTTATTTATGTATTTTGGGATCAGGAGTTTACAGTACATAAATAAATAACTAAATAAAGCCAATATATTGAAAGCCTGATGACTTAAGTGGCTGTGACAAGCTAAGTCAAGATGGAGTTATCACAAGTTTACTGTACCTAAAAAAAATTTAAAATCCTTTTTAAAGAAAAAATAAATTTGGATTTAAGAAACGACAATAATAATAATCCTTGCATTATTATATAAAACTACCTATTGGAGTCTCAGATATTCTTCGAATGGAGGCTTCCTCCAAGACTGTGATCATACCCTTCCATCCTCTGGGATCCTTGCTTGGGATACACCCTGCCTTCTCCGAGATGGAGGTCAAAATGAACAGAAGCCCTCAAAACAGTTCGGAGTCACTGAGGTTACCCTATGAGATCTTCTTTTTCAACTGGGACCAGTAAATGCCTCGACAGTCTACTTTGGGGAAGACGCACAGGTCGAACAGTCAGGGCTGATGATTTGATTGAGGAGATGCTGAGCCTGGTAACGTGAGGTATAATGGCAAAGGTAACAATGAAAGAAGAGGCATGAAGTCAGGTCCGTTCAGCCAGCAAATGGGGTCACTTTTAGCAATGTATCAGTTTCAGCGCCACCTCACAGCCAGTCCCATCTGACCGGTATTATCAGCACCCGCTCGGTGTCCAAAGCAAAAGAAATAGTCCACGTGGAAACTAAGACAACTGGTCAGATGGTGTTCGAGCTGGTAACAAGTATTCTTAACCACTTCACTTATAAGGTAGCGTTATAAATTCATGTTGAGCTCACCCCGGTTGGGTCAACTGCACATTCATTCTCTTAAGGAGTTAATGGATTTGCCGTTGTGATCCAGATCTTCTGGAAACTCACCATGACAATAATACCAGTAAACATGCTCAACTAGCTACAACAACGACAATTTACCACTTATATAGCGTCCTCCACTCTGGGTAGCGTCTCAGAGCGCTTAACAGTGGCAGAGTGTGACTCCGAGCCGGGGGGGAGGTGGCCGTAAGCACAGTCGAGCAGGAAAGTTTTCAGGCGGGACTTGAAAGAGGGAGAGCTACAGACCTTTGCGCTAAACTGCGACCCAAAGCAGGGAGTGAGTGAAAGGCCCTTACCCTAGGTATGGCTCATGCTCCTTCCATTTGTTGTTCATACTCGACTAGAACCAAAGCAGTTTAGCTCCAGGTAACAGGAACGAGAGGAAGCGACCCAGGCATTATTACAACACTTCCTGTGTGACAGTCATTGTCTGGGGCTTTCATCCTTTATGATGAGACTTTCAGCAGATCCTTGAGAGGCCAAAGCGTGCCCATGTCTTAGTGTTGCTTAAGCTGCTGCGATGTTCCGTATTCACATTGGATTTCGTGGTGAGCTCAGACTGAAGTGAGTTCAGGAGCTGGATACGGAAGGGGAAGGGGAATTTAGTCCACATGGCCTATAGTGATTAATTAAACTAAATTAAACTCCAAATAGACAACTTCCGTGCAGGGTCTAGCCAACATGACCTGTGTGTGACCCTACAGTGTGGCTAGGAAATGGTCCCTTTATGCTTATAAAAGTGTATTCTGTGAAGCGCTTTGAGACGTCTCAAAGTCACGATAAGGCGCTATATCAAATAGAAGGATTATTGTTATTACTATCATTATTTGTGAGGCACTGTTCTGTCTGCATCGTTTTGGAAAAATACCCAACAGAAAAGCTTGCTTCTCAGAAGCTGGGAAAATCTTTTGATCCTCCGAGAGTGAAATTTCTGGGAAAATGATTCCGAAATCTTCTGCGGAGTCTTGGGAGCTTGGGAATGCGAGCCCTCGGAAACTCAGGTCGCATCCTGGTGGAATAGGATTTGGAAAACAAAACAATCGCCAGACCAAACAAACCGAGTTAGGAAAGATGCTGGCAAAGTCAGTCAGTTCTCACGTTCTTCAAAATAATCTGTTGAAATCAGAGCCTGAACTTAACAGCTAGAGAGGGGTGCCGCAGTGACGGACTGACGTTGCTGTTTTTGGTGACTGTGTGGCAGAGAGAGACGGTTTATGGAGCTCTCCTTTCTGTACTGTCGGGGGGGGCATTAAGTGGAATACAGATCAATGCTAAATTCTAGCTCTGTGCATTGCAGCTATAACCAGCAACTCTAATAATAATAATAATCCTTGCTTTTTGGAACGGCGCCTTATCACGTCTTCGAGACGTCTCAAAGAGCTTCACAGGATATACTGTGAAGTGAATTGGCTGTCTATTTTGTGGGCGAAACGCAACAGCTAATTGCGCACAGCAGCGTCCCACAAACAGTCGTGGATCGAGTGACCAGATTATTTTGCTTTTCTTTTGAAAGGATTATTACTCCCGGAAAAGCAATCCGCCAATGGACTAACAACTGGGTTCCTACTTACTGCTAGGTAAACAGAGGTGTGTGGAGTAAGGAAACTTGCCCAACGTTTCGCCCTGCCTGGGAATCAAACTCAGGGCCACTCTCTTGCGAGGCGAGTGCTCTAACCACTGCGCTACAGGACTCCACAATCTGACAAGACCCAGCCGTTAAGCAAGTAACAGATAAGAGAATGATCCCGGGCTCTGGCAGAGAAAAATCAATTGCTCCACCCAATTAAATACCCATGTTGAGCGCAAGAAGAACAGCGTGCACAACAAAGAAGGAACTTGTTAACTTCATGAATCAATTCTGAGTAATTCTCCAGAATAAGCTTGAGGAAAAGATATAAGGTCAGCGACTTAAATGAAGTAACAAGGACTGAATGGTTTTCATCGAATCTTTATGAAAAACAGAATGTCTTCTTGTCTTTGGCTCTCATGAACTGGGAAGCACTGCAACAACCCAATAAACGGGAGGTCAGAGGAGATGTTAAACCACGTCCCTGGTCATAAAATGCCCCTAAAAGGGTATTTTGCTTCTCCCAAGAGAGGCGTTGGCGGGGTGCCAGGGTCTGCATGCTGCAAATCAGCTCCGAATCTGACAGCCTAACCTGTTGTACCCAATCCCAAAACATGTGCTGTGTGTGTGGGGGTGGCTTCTGCCAAGCTCAAAGAGGGCTTTCCATCCAAATTTCTTAAAGTGTGATTCAAGCATGG